CAGAGGGGTCTTGCCACCAAATTCTGATCCCGTCTACCTGACTTTTCCCACTTTTATTAGGTTGGGATGGTCCAAGGGGTGGGATCTCAGGTGGCTGATGCGCCAGGTAATAGGTTACTTGATGCGCCAGGTGATAGGTTAGTATTATGTTGATGAGGGTCTTCCGAGGGGTGGGGTCTCAGGTGGCTGACGTGCCAGGTAATAGATGGGGGTCTTCCTTATCAGTAGGACAGCGGGTTGGTGTCTGGAGAGCTGGAGAATTGGTCGTTGGTGTGCAAAAGCACCACACACTGGCGTCAGAAGTGATGTGAGTAAAAACAGTTCAGAGAGCCCTGTGGGAAATTTTCCCTATAGTGGGCTCTGGACCCCATAAAACTGCCATATAACTATTTATCCTTCACATGGGAAGCACATGGGATTAACAGACTGTGACAATCGTCTTTTATTTTTCCACAATATTTGAACTTTTATCTCTTAAAAGGCTCCTGACACCAAAGAAAGTAACTTAAAGAAAGTAATTTATATCACAGTTTTTATTTGATCTAACGCTTTATCTTTTGAGTTCAATGTGTTCCCAGGGAGACACGTGAGTGAGGGAATTCATGTCTTTTTACTACGGAAAATGTCGAACATACACAAAGTAGCGAGAAGGGTACAATAAGCCTCCGTGCACTTGTCACCCAGCTTCAGCTATCACCAGCGTTCTGTTGCTCTCATTCACACTCTGGCCTCCTCGCCACCACTTTTTCTCTTTCCCTGGATTGTTTTAAAGCTATCCATGATATCGTATCATTCCACTTGTAAATTCTTCAGTAAAAATCTCTAACGTATATGGAAGTAACAGTCATCGGGTGTTGGGAGGGGGAGTGGGGCGGAGGGGATGGGGATATTCACGCCTAATGGGTGTGGTGCGCACTGTCTGCGGGACGGGCGCGCTTGTAGCTGTGACTCCGGTGGTGCAGAGGCAATAGGCGTAACCTAAACGTTTGTACCTCCGTAATGTTCCGAAATAAATAAATAAATAATAGACTGTAAAAAAAAAAAATCTCTAACATATACAGACTAATTGTATAACAATAACATAACCACAGCTTCATGATCATAGCCAGCAAAATTAACAATAATTTTCTAATAGCGTATAATGACCAGTTCATTTTAGTTTCCCCTAATTGTCCCAACATGTCTTTTCACCCTGGTTTATTTAAATCGGGATCTAAACAAGATCTACATTTGCATTTGACTTGCATAAGTCTTGTGAACTAAAATAAAATCTTAAGCTCCTCCGCCCCTAGCTGACTGAATAGACCCCACTCTTGGCCAAGGGGATATCCTAAAACTGAGTTGCTGGCCATGAGAAGGGAGGTCCCTTCTTGCAGATATCCTTTCTAACTCACTAACAGGCCTCAGGCTATGCAAGACAAACCTGCAGGTTTTCAATTTACTTCACAAATCACTTGAGTCGTCAGGTGGCTTGTCTCTGATTAGCAGCCTTCCTTATCTTAACTTAAAACATTCCAAGCCTTTAGACAAAGCTTCATTTCTTTAACCGGATTACAAATCAAAGAGTTTTAAACCCACCTATTACCTGTAAGCTCCTGGCCTCCACGATGTCCTACCTTTTCCGACCAAACCAATATACGCCTTCCATGTATTGATTTACGACTTTATATGTAATTCCTGTCTCCCTGAAATGTATAAAACCAAACTGTAACCCAACCACACCAAGTCCAAGCTAGAATACACACTTCCTAGTTAAAAAAAAAAAAAGGCACAGAAAGTTCCTTTTATTTTAGAGTCTTCCTTATACCTATTAATGGCATTGTCTTTTTGACTCCATGCACTTAGTGTAAGAGATTACTGCAACAAGCGTATGACTTGAAAGCCAAGGCTTGTGAACAAAGCATGCTGACTATCAGGGTGGTAGCCCTTGTAAATGTCAACTTAAATAACCAACAGAAATGCTCTTTAAAAGAAAAAGATATTTGGGAATAGAGTATTGTAATGGGAATATATATGTCTTGTAGTAACTATGTGTGTATTTAAGAAGACATCAAAGAAGACAAAGGTTTTTAAAGGAAAAAACAGGATTATGTAATTGTGGGGTTTTTTTTTTTGCTGTGTGGGTCTCCCCAGCAGCCGAAAGCTAAAATTGCCTTTGCCGAAGAGAGTCACCTCGCTCAAGAACAGTCCCCTTCTCAGGATAGCTCAGATCTGATGACTGGTTAACATGGTTTCCTCGCCCCATCTGGGGACAGCTCTGAAGGGTCATTCCACCCCTGGGAACAACAGAGGCTTTGTTGGGATTTCACCACAGTCAGACTTCGCCCTCACCCTCCATAGTATTGATAGCAGGAGTTTGCCCCAGTAAACTTCCATCGTGCTGATCTACGTTTCAGACTCTGCTTCTAAGAAAGTCAACTCATGGCAGTCTGTGTTGTTTTTTTTTTTTAATTAAAAACAATTTCTTAGGACAGTATCCCAACAACAACAACAACAAAAGTATTTTTTAAGATCTCAATTGGCTTTATTTGCAATTCTAGAATCGAGCAACATTTCCTTTCATAGAATAAGTGTTCCCGGCACTCTGTTTTCATGAGGGGATGTGGAGAGATTCAGACAACGCCCATCATCTCTAACTCGCTCTGGTCTTTTGCTCTAGAGTGAGGCGTGTGTGCTCTCTCCTAGAGACGGCAGGCAAACATGTAACTTCAGTTAACCCTCTGCTTAAAAGACTCTCAACCAACTTTGTTCAGAATCTTGGTGGTTTGTTTTTTCTTTAAAAAATAGGAAAAGAACCTAGCCCACAATATACAAAACAAGGTAAGAGTGATAGGATTTCAAAATGTGCCTGCAATTTCTGAGGATGAGAAAGGAATAGAAGGTGTCAGAACCCCATTCCCATTGGTTTGGCAGCTCTTTGTACCCACAGATTCTTAGCGGCATTTCAGGCACCGCTCTGTAATCAGACTCCACTGCTACATGATCAAAAGCAGCTCTGGGTCTTAGGATTGTTAGGATAATTGAAAATTCTTTCCTTCAACCAGAGGACAGGTGCCATATGAGTAAGTTCTGGTTAGTGTTTGGCAATGGCTTTGATGGGGGAACAAAAAGAAAGACTCTGTTGATCAGTCTCTGTCTCTGAGTGAAATTTCAATTTCCATCCTACATGTAATGTAAGATCAAAGTAGTCCTGTTTATAGAGAGGATGCATTTCTAATTTTGGCAGACTCTCTGTTGTATGAAGTTTTTACTCCCATTTTCACATCTTCTATTTCATTTTTATACAAAATAGTTTCAAGGGACAGTGATGGTCCCTGCCTTGTTTTTGACTTTAATGGCAGTACCTTTAATATTAGGTCATTAAATATGAAATGTGCAATTTTGAATCAAAAGTGTAGTTTATTACATCTCAAACAAGAAGCAGAACAATTAAAGTATGTGCCTAAACTATCGACACATTTCTGCCATCTTAATGGTAGCTTGTTTATGCCAGCAGCGAAGAAGCCTGGAGAGTGAGTGGCAATGATATCAAGAAAGACATTTTTCATAGCTTGTTGAGAACTGAATATTTTTCCTTGCAAGAAGTGGTCCAAAGCCTGGAAGAAGTGGTGGTCAGTTGGTGCAAGGTCTGGTGAATACAGTGGATGACAGACAGTTTCCAAGTCCAGCTTCTGTAGTTTCAGCAGCGTTGTTTGTGCAACATGTAGTTGAGCTTTGTCTTGCAAGAGGATTGGACTGTCTCTATTGATCGATCTGGGCTCCTTAATTGCAAGCATCCTCATCATTTCATCCAGTTGGTTGCAGTAAACATCCGCTGTAATCGATTGACCATGTTTCAAGTGCAGTGGAGAATACCAGTGCTGGACCACCAAACAGACACCATCAGCTTTTTTTGATGAATATTTGGTTTTGGACTGTGTTTCAGCACTTCTTCTTTATCAAACCATCGTGCTGAAAGCTTGTGATTGTCAAAAAGAATCCGTTTTTTATCACATGTAACAATACGGTATAGAAATGGTTCACCTTTATGTCGTAACAACAAAGAAAGGCAAACTTAGAGACGATTTCTCTTCTGATGCTTGTTTAATTCATGCAGAACCCATCTATCCAGCTTCTTTACCTTGCCAATTTGTTTCAAATGGTCCAATACTGTTGGAATACTAACGTCAAATCTTGCTGCTAATTCACACGTAGGTTGAGATGGATTTGCTTCCACTACAGCTTTCAGCTCATCATTATCCACCTTGGTCTCAGGTCACCCACGTACTTGTTCAAGTTTAAAATCACCAGAATGGAACTTCTCAAACCATGGACATACTGTGTGTTCATTAGCCACATCCTTGCTAAAAACTTCATTGATATTTCAAGCTGTCTGTGCTGCATTGGTTCCACGATGGAATTTATATTAAAAAATAACACAGATTTTTGACTTATCCATGGTTTCACAAAAATTGCTCTAAAGATTTTTTTTGAAAGATAATCATAAGCCAAAACATACATTTGAAAGAATGAAGATGTACCTTCACAATGAAGAGAAAAAAAAAAAACCAAAACAAGAAGTGTCAAAGTGAAATGTCAGAGATATCAACTGTCAAACGTAGTACTTAAGGAAATTGGACATTCCATACTTAATAACTCAATATTTAGCCATTTAATATGATGTTTGCTCTTAGTTTCTGAAAACAACACACATACACGACTCTTTATCATAGTTAGGAAATGTCCTTTGTCTCTCGTTTTACTTAGTTTTTTTTAATTATATGGAACTCTTCACAAATTTGCATGTCATCCTTGCGCAGGGGCCGTGCTACTCTTCTCTGTGGTTCCCCTTTTAGCATATGTACTTCTGCAGCGAGCACCACTTAGCGTTTTTACCAGAAATGGTTCTCAAATTTTCTCCAATGCTATATAATTGTGCAGTTTTCAATTTTATTTTATCAGTGTGATTAGATTGATAATTTCCAATACTGAACTATGCTTAAAGGCCCAAAATAGACTCGCACACCATGTGTCCTTCCGCGCGCAGCACGGGGGACTTTTCGGTGGGGATTTTGGGCGCCGACCAGACGCGGCATTTTCGGAAAATAGCGCCCTGTGCAGCTGAAGCGCTTTGTGTGTAGCGGGGCCGCGTCAGCCCGGCCGGGTACGAGGCGCCTCGGGTCCCCGAACCACCTCCTGCTGCCTCCCCGTTGCTGCTCCCGAAGCTTTTCCAGATGTCCCTGGTAGATTTGGGAAAGAAGCTTTTAGAAGCGGCACGAGCAGGTCAAGATGATGAAGTTCGTATTTTGATGGCAAATGGAGCTCCTTTTACTACAGACTGGCTGGGAACTTCTCCACTTCATCTGGCAGCACAGTACGGGCATTACTCCACCACAGAGGTACTACTCCGAGCTGGTGTAAGTAGGGATGCCAGAACCAAAGTGGACCGAACACCATTGCACATGGCAGCTTCTGAGGGCCATGCCAGCATAGTAGAGGTTTTGCTTAAGCATGGTGCTGATGTCAACGCAAAGGACATGTTAAAGATGACAGCTCTGCATTGGGCCACAGAACACAATCATCAAGAGGTGGTGGAACTTTTAATCAAATATGGTGCTGATGTACACACACAAAGTAAATTTTGTAAAATTGCATTTGATATTTCAATAGACAATGGAAATGAAGATTTAGCAGAGATATTACAGATTGCTATGCAGAACCAAATCAACACAAACCCAGAGAGTCCCGACACTGTGACGATACATGCTGCAACACCACAGTTTATCATTGGACCTGGAGGGGTGGTGAACCTAACAGGTCTGGTATCTTCAGAAAATTCATCCAAGGCAACAG